TTAATTTGATAAAGAGGTAATCTGAAACCTTTTGACGACCACACTGAGTATGTGGAATGAATTCCCAAGCACCGGACTGAGTCATCGGTCTGATAGAATTGGATTAGTTCAAGACACTCGACTCATCTCTCCACCCTCTTGCCTTTTTTTGTCCGGTATTTATGGTTGAGGTAGTGCAGGTAACTCAAAACACCATCAAAGCGTTTTAAATGTTTTTTTCGTACTTAATCACGTCTTTAAGTAGATTATTCTGTGTATATTCTTCCCTCATTTTTTCTCACCAGCTAACCGAAATTTCAGTCAGCGGAGTGGGAACTTACCGTCTGGTATACAAACACGATCCTCTTACCGGTGAAAACGGTCTTTCGCACATCATCACACCCCTAGGTTTATATCGAACCTTCTCCCTCTTCACCAGTCTCGGTGTAGAACGTCTAACTTTCTTTCCATGGGCTCTGGATGCTGGATCCACCAATGCTGCAGCTTTCACCTTTGACTGGGAGACTCGTATTCCACCCTCTGCCGCCTTCCATGGGTACCCTCTTGCCCGTTTTACTTGGCCTTCGGGTCGACGCGTCAATCATTTGTTGGCAAAGCGTCTTATCGTCTACGACAATGTTCAGATCCACTGGGATCGTGAAGAACTAACTGATTCTACCTCTGTGAGCCTCCAGGATGCAATCAACGAGTTCCAGATAGATGAAAAGCGTCAGTTTAGTGCTGGAACACTGGTGACTTATGTCAGAGGTGATTTGAGTCTTGCCGGCACTCGAAGAGTAGATTCTGCTGGTGGAAAACTCCTGGCGTATAGTTATGAATATGAGTATGATCAAAGTTTCTTGGTAGGTGGCATTTTCTCCTGAGTATATTTTGAAGATTTAATGAAAGAATTTATGACTATTGCAAATACTGTTATAGGTATCTGGAATTCGCTCCTGCCTCTTCCAATCTGCTACTGCCTCTCCACTCTGGTGTCAACCATCCCACATCATCTTCAACAGTTGGGTCGGCTATTCCATCAGCCCATTGGGTGTAAATTTCTTCCAAGAAGGGCTTTCAACTACATTAGTTTGGAGTCAAAGTGGTTTGCAATTAAACAGACGCTTTGACAACTCTGAACGTCTATTAATTGTGTCCTTACAACAAGTGAGTTTTCACAGGAACCAGGAATAATTCAGGGGAAAGAAGTTTTTGTAACGTCCGAGTCCTTTTTTAAAACCTTGTGAGATTGGATGGTTTTGGATGAGGCAGGTGTTTTGTGTGGTGGCTATTAAACTGCTATGTTGTGGGCTGTTGGGGGTTGAGATGGGAATTTGCATCATTGCACCCAGTGTCGTCACTAAAAGACGGATAGGCAGACATTCCTCCTTGTTGTCCATCTTGGTTAAGGGTCCCTGGACCCAATTAAAATGCCTGAATCACGATGTGAACACTGGGTATTAGTACGGGTAGTAGCGAAAAAAACGGTGCCTAATATCCCATCGTTTCACGACTGGGAATTGAAAGGCCAGTTTTGAACACCCCTTTTACAATTAAATGAATAGCCTTTTATTGTATTCTAACCTTTAGACCGCTTTTCTGTCGGTAAAAGAGTCAAAGCGCCAGGAAGTAATAATCAACGTCACCTTTGAGTACAGTGGAGATGGCCTTCTACCATCAGACATGAGTTTGGAAACCATTGAAGATGTTCCAATGCGTACTCACTACAGACGGGGTCCTGGAGGCCGTATTGAAGGCATAGACTGTGAGGTGATTGGTTCCAGTCGTCGTCGTCACGTCCAAGTGGTTTACAACGAGGAATCCAGGGTCTCTGACATTCGCCACTATATTTCTGATTCCCAGTTTGCCAAAGCAGGAAATAGTGAGAGTAAACACATCTCTACAAAATTCGTCTACGAACGTGGTCTCCTTGCAGGATTCGGAAACTGGAAGTATGTCTTTGATGAGAACGGTTGCCTTATTGAACGTCGATTGCGGGACTCTAGAAGCATTGAGGATCTATTTGAATACAATAGCAAGGGTCTGCTTCGATGGGTGGAGCGACGGGTTATGCCTTCGTCGGCAGATGAGGCCCAACTGAAGCAGAAGCAACAATCTGTTTCAGATGATCCCCTTTGCAATGGTCTTGAGAGCGCCTGCTACCATCAGGAAATAGGTCTCGTGATGGACTATGCCGTTCAGTTTCTCTACGACGCCGAAGACCGCCTAGTAGTGGTACGAAACACACTGGCAATCAATGATATGATCCAATTCTTCTACGCCCATCCACAGCATCGCAACCGCTTGACATCTTTTTTCCATCATGGGAAAGGAAAGGCGTATTTTCTGACGTATGAGCAAAAAACTGGCCACCTATTTGCCATCGAAGAGGTGGATCTGTCCGTCATTGGTGATTCGAATTCCGAACGGAAGCTGTATATCGTTATTACCGATACAGAAGGTTCACCCATTGCACTCTACGCCGACGAAAAGGTAAAGCTTTTCAACCATTTCAAAATTCTAGCCGCTAAACTAAAGCCGATGAGGTTTTGAAATGACAACTTCGTGATCAACGAAAGCGTATTTTAAAATGATTTTTTCCCAGGAGTCTTTATAAAGGGTAAATAATTTCAAGCATGGCACTGATTTCTCAGAAAAACGACAGTTACGAACTCAAATTATATTTCGATTCTACATTGCTTTTTAAAAATCCCATGTAGTCCGTCAAGACGTATTTTATTAACACCTGTTGTAGTTCCAGGCGCTCTCTTATTTTTTCATGATACTAATCGTCACCAATTATGTGACAAATGAAGATGTTGGTCCCAGATGAAAGTGACATTTTGTATCTGTCCGGTGATCGGATTTCTGATTTAGCTTTCTCTCTTGAATCCACACTTCATAAAGTGTCGGTAGAACGAACAGAGTGAATGTAATTCGAGATTGTCTACTTCAGCAACTGGAATTTATTCGGTCCCAAAACTTCAGATGCCAGCTTCTTGTCATACTTGCCCTTTAGCTTTTGAAGAAGGTGCAATACGTGGTGACAAAACAACACGCATCTGGGAATGCCTTTATTTAGATGATTCGGATTCCGATGATGGTGATGTCAACGACGATGATGATAATAATAACAATGGATCACTCCGAGACGTAAGCCGTATTTTGTGAGGAAGGAAAGGACCCTGCAGTCCTGATCACGTCGGAGAGAATGCTGAGTCTCGATTGGTTGAATTAATTGCAGATAGACGAGTCAATACAAACTATTAATTGTGCTGTTGTGATGAGACTGTCTGTTCGCCCCTACATCAAATAGAAGCGGAGGGTCGTAGAAGTCGCCACGCCAGTGGATGCTGCATGCCTTGCATTGACAGATGACAGCCAATAAGCCGTAGAAACTATCAATTTTTGTCTCATTTTGTCACCTTACGCCGTGCAAAATGTCGTTTGCCAAGGGCTGCTTGGACTGTTTGTCTGCTTGTGGATGGAAATGGATTTTGTATTCCAACATCAAGCGAGGCGATTTTTAAGTGTTTATCTCATACAATCCACTCACTACTCCCCCTTGCCCCCCTTTCCAAGGTACCACATCACCTCCCCACAAAGAACAACTATGCTAGGCTATTTGACTCTACGGAAAAATGTTTTATGAAAATGGCATTCGCAAATAGCTCGTTTCTTTGCGAAAGTGGCGGTAATTACTAGAAACTCTCTGCATTTATGTGATTCTCCTTGTGACAAATGCGCACCAACTTATTTGGTTACATTATCAATAAGCGGGTGAGCAGATGAGTGGTAAAAACGGTCTCTTGTTATAGTTTTGCCCGATTTATGACTTGTAATGAGTTGAGTTATCACTGATCATTTCTGAATGATCCACCATCTACTACAAACCTTTTGGGTATTACTTCATCCCTTAGAGGTGGGCGATGTTTTTTTGTTGGACTGCAAATGCAGTCGTCCACTTGCTGATGGCCGAACAACTACAGATGAAATCTATGCATAATTCTGCAAAAATACACCTTTGTCACAAATAGGCAGGTTAATCAACCGAATACAGTGCAATTTCTCCAGGACAGCGCGTGAAATTATGTCTTATTCCACAAAATTCACCTGCCAGGAGACCTCACCGCACTTTATAATGGATGGAGATGCAGTTGGGGAATAAAACATATAGAAAAGGAGTAGCTTGGGTTTGATTTTATGCTTCTAGAAGCAAGTCTTTTTGTGAAAGGGGTTTTGTAGCATACTTGTGTCTCGCTGGGAAGGCATTCTGGCTTACAATGATTATTTCAGAGGGCAAAGTAGGTCTGAGTGTTATCGTATGCATTGTTGGTCTAAACTAAAGCAATCTTTTTATGACACCATTTGCTGTGATTATGTACCTTGAATTGGTGAATAAAACATGTCACATATTTGTGACGGTAGTGGTGAATGTCTCCAATTACGTAGTGCTGTCTAGTTTATCTGGTAATTTTTTTCCCTTTCTCGAGAAAAAAGTTTTTTAGGTGATTGTATGTTTTTACTTCCTATGTCTGCGTTTGTGGTCATGTTGCCAAATTATCGTTGCCATTAGATAAGATGATTTGGGCGGGCTTCTGAATCAAATTGGTACTAGCCTCACCTAACCTCTCCAGGTGGAAGTGATTTTTAAAGCCTTTTGCCCACTGGCATCTCGTGTACTGACAGTGTGCTTTGTTTCATGAATCATTCTTTGTGGGTTATTATAACCTTATGGATTGATCAATGGGGGCTTCATTGTCTTATCTTTTACTGTGGCTTGAAACTGACCGAAATGCTTGTCAAAGTCTTTCTAGTGCTGGAATTGTGCTGCCCAAGTAAATTAGTCTTTTTAACTACTACTAAACTCGGGACTTTAGGCTCGAAAGAACAAAGGACGTATTTTCCAGCTCTTAGTTAGCATATGGGAAGCAGATTCGACTATTTCGATATGAAACAACTGTCAAGGTACCAAATGGGCGCTAAATAGTCGGAATTGCAAAGCATTTTCCTGTTTGGCTGTGCAGCAATGTGCTGTGGTGTGTTCAACGTTGCCACAAGACGATTCGCCCGCCTCTTGCACTATTTCGGCACAGCAAATTATACGTGAAATAGATCCTTGGGATAGGGCAGGTGTTTCGTACGCTGGCTTTTAAACTACTGAGCGGTGAGCTATGGGCTATGAGCTGCTGAGAGTCGGGGATTGGGGTGGGAATCGAATCATCACAACCCATCACAGTACCGCAAACCGTGTGCTTGAAGCCTCCCGTTGACACCAGCAGATGTCAACAAACTCGGGAAGAAACTTGATTCACAATCACCCATTTTTGGATGCATACAATAGCGTATTTTCCACTCTTACCTGTCATCCATCTTGAATAGGAATGTGTGTACTGACTGATTGACTGAATCACGACATGTGCGGCGATTATCAGATTTGATGCTACCACTGTGATAGCGCCCTTTTCACCCTTATACTCCGTTAAACTAGAAGTCCCGTTTCTGTTTAAGCGTAACCAAAGTCTTCACTTTACAACAGAATTCAAACCGCGCAGAATGCAAATTTATAGTTAAAGTTATGTATCTACAGAGTTTCCGCATTTCACATCTCCATTTCGAGTCCCCTGCCCTTTACTTAACTATCTTTTCGGTCATCATTGTTTCCTTTTTTCACTTAAAGTAATTTTATAAGTCTCTCAGTTGCACTAAAGGATAGAGCGTTACGTATCACACCAAGTAAAATTTTATTTAATCAATCCCGTCAGAAGAACTTCTGTCTTCTTTGATGCTTGATCAGTTGATTGAATGCTGTTATATTCTACCATCAGATTCTCTGGACGGCTGAATACAGTGCAACTGGAGGCCGACGTTTGGTAAATGGTGGATTTCTCAACGCCTCACTTTTGGACGATTTTACTGTTCCTCTTGGATACCGTGGCGCACTTATGGATCTACACACCGGATTCCTGTTCCATACACCCACCTGGCAAGCTTATGATCCCATTGGGGCCACTTTGACAAGCCCCGACTGGCGTCGAGTTGCCACTTCCCGTCTCCAACGGCTCCACAGTCACCCACAAGCTCTAGATCTTCACACTTGGTTCTCTGAAAGCAGTGATTTGGATCCGCTAGCCCGATTGCAGCAAGCGATGCAAGGTCCGGCTTGGTGGTTGCGCGGTCTTGATAGTGGAATTAACCGTCTCTTTTCACATCTTCAAGTAGAAACTGGAGCCGTTTCAGCCTCATCAATGGAGGGAGAGTACAATCACTTACCAACGAAGTGCAATCAAGGCCTAGTAATAACTTCTAGACGACTTCAACAAGCTAGACACATCAACGATCAATTAGAACAACTTGGTATTGTTGATACGACAAGACTGGCATCTAATAAGGCCTTTGGAGCGTGGTTTGATGCAGTCTGTCCAATTGCTAGAATTAAGACTACTCCTCCGGTTTTTGGTGTTAATGTAGGTTGTGGAAGTGGGTGAATAATCACAACCCTTTTAGGTCAGTTTCTCTCTCTCCTCCGATGGAACAATATCTGTTTCTCGAAGTGAAAACAACGTATCTCTCATCAGGATTGCTAGGGTTCTTTTCTCCGGCGCAAAGCTGATGGACTCTTGGTACCTTCCCATACCTTCTCACGGTGGAATGGCAGCTGTCACCTCCTTTGTTCAACTCTTTGTCAAAGTTGCACCATCTCTGAACACTGATCTGCAAACCCTACAACTTCAACGTTCCGCTCTTCTTTCCCAAACTCCAATTCGTTTGGGAGGCAGTGTGTCACCACTTAGTGGAGTTATGGTGAGTTTAGACAACTCTGCAGGTACTGAATTACGCATCAGCTCTGCAGTATCGCCAGGAGTTGAATGGCGGCTTCGATATGAAGAGAACTGGACAGTGGCAAGTGGACGGGTACTTCAGGAGGCCCGAAGTCGAGGTATAGATGGTGCTCAACGGCGAGCAGCCTTAATAGCAGGTAACAGTGTTCGCGGACCACGAACCTCACCAAAACCTTGGCCTCCATGGCTTTCTACTTCAGCAGAAATGCGCCAAATGGAAAGTGAGGGTGGCGTTGTAAAGGGATTCGTCTGGAAGCCGGTTATTCGAGAGCCCAAGAAGGCGGCAGTTCTCACTGAACTCCTGGACGATCCTGCTATGTACCAATTGCGACCAGTGAATGAGAAATCTGTATCAAATGAGAATTGAGATCATTCTGTGTTGCTTTGTCTTTCATCTATCTTTGAAATACGGTCAGAGGAATGCTCTTACCGGGTACACTGTCAATTCCATTTGACCTATTTCTCTCTCCTTACACATGAGCATTAACTGGAACTGATTGTGTCACTCTTTACTTTGCTCTTATTCTCCTTCACTCGCTTTGTGAGTAGCATTTAGGCGTTCTTCAGATGCCTTCTCTCTACACCGTATTGTCCCTCTTGCCTGTAAATATGTTCTCATTACATGTGTCATTATTTCTACTAATAACTTGTCAGTAGGTAGCATTTTATCACTCCGCTATTTGCGTCGTGAACTAGTATCTTTAAAAAGGGGGCAAAAAATATTTTTATTTTCATCCCAAATACCTATACTGATTACTCAAGCAAGCCAGGTTGATAATGTCAAATAGTGATTGCTGGATCCGACTAGTCGTGGAAAAATTGACAAGGTTTTTTATAAAACAATCTTCATGAAAGTTGATGGAATAGTAAAAGTGCGATACTTGACTAACATTTTGTGCCTAAAATGCCTCTAGTAGAAATTGTGATCATCTTAGTATTTTTTTTCGAAGTGTTCTACCTGGAAGTGGGAAACACCGGTTTTTGTCTCTAAGTAGAGACCGAATCCTGGTTTTTGAAGCAGCAATATCACCAAGCGGTTCAAGTCCAATTTGGACTCTTATTTTTCGGTTTTAAGAGGAGATATCACTGTAAGCAGGTGCTGTGTCATATTGCCGATACCCAGCGTATGTGTCCAAACACGACTAGTTAAGACGGTAGGCAGTTGTGGTTGTGCGTGCATGCAGCTGTGTTGTAATGGTCGAAGCACCTTGTGAACGAAGGCGTAAAACTCGTAGGCATTATGTAAACTTTTCAAAGACTGGTGCCCATCAGCGGAGATTTTATCTTCGGTCCAAAATACAGGAGTGATGACTGCCAGCGAACATACAGTCAGCCCTTGGAAAAGTTGCCTCCTTTTGCCATACATCTCCAGCAACGCTGAGCGCAGCGCATTCACAAAGACGAAGATTTGCATTTTGGGCAAGTTAATGCAGGTCGGATGCTAGGACTTTTAACAGCTTTTGACCGAGGCAGAAGAGTCGAGTGACAAATTGAAACAGACTCCTGTGATGGTTCAGCTCTACGGACAAATCTTTCGATTCTCAAGCTGCTTTCCGGATGCTATTTAAGGTTTATGATAAGTATAGGAAGTGTAGAGCAAGATTATATCAACAAATACGGTTTGCATCCCCTCACTTCTCTTCTTTTCTGTCTTTTATGGAGTCAGAAATCTTGGTTTTAGGGAAACCTCTTTCCAAAGGTAAAAATCCTGCAACACAAATTATTCTCCCTCTATCTTTCACTTCTGTTTCAACTATTTCCACCCATCTATTTGTATGGATCTTGAATCCTTGGAACAAAGGAAAATGCCATGTCTTCTGATTTTACTGCAGCAAGGGTGCCAGCATTTCATAAAAACGACTTCGACTCGTTATTCATTGTCGTTGTTGAATGCCATTCTGTTGTGCTTCTTCATTCATCCAGTCGAATTATTCAGACGTAGATCATATTTAGAGCTACAGCATTTGCATTCTTTCAAGGCCACAAAGGATGTCGGACACAACCTACCGTGCTCCCACGGCCACGCTCTCCATGCCTGTTGGTGAATCCAATAGTGCTGGATGGGCGAGATCGACAGTACCCATCTCTTTGACCAACAGTGTTGTATTGACGATGTCTGCAATGGCTGTGGGGAGTACTTGACAAAGTTCCCGGTGGGAGAAGGGGGCGTTCTTTTGTCCTTGGCATTGGTGTGCTTGTCGTGGCAACTTCGGCTGGATGCGGACTGGTCGGACTAGGTGAATTGGGAATTGCCTTTGTCCCCAGACTGTATCATAGCGGTGACATGCTTGAGGTTGGCCAAGGATTTGTACCCCATAGTTGTTGCCCATATCTTCACTGATGGATTCTGCCCGATCACGCTCAACAGACGAGTGCGGATGTCTGAGTCCGTGTACAACTGTAAACTAGAGACGAAGAGAAGTCATTTTAACAGGTCGTCAGTCATTTCCTTCAGTTTGAAGTGCTTTCACTGAAGATTGACCCATTCTGCGAAGGTGACGTAGTCGTCATCATCGTATTTTGTCAACTTCGGACAGGCGTAATGCAGATTAAACACCGGAGGCTGCTCACCGAGAATGGTAAGTTCGGATCCTTAAGGGACTTTGACAGAATGCAATTTTTACACTGCTGGTGTCCAGATGGTCCGAGTTTCTGTAATAGAAGTCGGACTTTCCACTCACCATCATTTATAAGCTGTACAGTGCAATAAATGCATAAATGTGGCAGAGGGTACACGGAAAAGGAAAATGTAATTTACATGCCTTGAAAGTGAACTTTTTTGGTCAATTTTAACCAGAAAGTTTCAATTTGGCTTAAACGTCCGTTACAACGTCTCCCATTTTTATACCCTGTCTTACTATTGGTAATAAATCATTTCCAGTCGTTCATAAAATTTCCTACAATCTTCCTGCCAAAAAGTAGCAGACCTAAAGAACTTGTAATAATCACATTTCAAATTGGTGATAAAAAGGAAAGTGAAATCAGTGTGAAAACGTCCAAAACTGTTTAATCAGTTAAGTAAAAGTATGCATGGCTTTCAACCAGATCACGGCGATGACTTAGTGTAGCCTATACGAATCTGTAAAATACACCATTACTGCTTTAGACCGCATTATTGCATAGCAGTCTATAGGTGAAGTATTCTTTATTGTGTTTCTCATAATCTTCCTTACCATTATGAACTCGCACATTATAAAATGTAGCTGAAGCAAACCTGATGGATGTGATTCGATTTAACTAAAATCTAAATTTACAGAAGCCCGGGTCCCGTCAAATTGGTTGTTGCTGTCGATGGTGGTGGTGTTGGTAGTAGTAGTAATGGTGGATAGCTCAATGGTGGAGGCTGTTATTCGAGAAGGTGGGAAACCCGTCCAATCCAGATCACGCCGAACGGAGGATGCTGCATTGCTATTGGTTGAATCAACTGCAGATGAACGAGTCAAAAACACTTGTGAATTTTATTGCAGTGATGACACTACTTGTTTGCATCAGCATCTAATGAAATGAATAGGTCGTAGAAACTACTAAACAGATAAATGGATATCACGTGCCATGCAGTGACAGATGACAGCTAATAGGCTTTAAAGCCCATCAATTTATCCCTGTTTGTCTCTTCACGTTGGGGAAAAGCGCCGTTTACTACAAAATAGAAACTTAATCCCTTTAATTTAAGTGTACAATGCTTGCCGTGATTTTAGTGATACAGCAGTTACATAAAAACGGACAAAAACTGCCAGCTGAGTCAGCCAATCTTACAGGGGAGCGAAAACAACTGTTGCTTCAAGACAGAGAAATTATTTATAATTATTTAGACAAATGAAATGTCTTAAGCCTTTTTTAAAAAGAATCGCCCCATGGAAATTGTCGAGGCTTTTTTACTTATCTTTTAGTACATACTTGGTCTTAAGCATTTGGTCTCATGTAAGACTATCGGCGTAGGAAAGGCGTCAGCTGCAACCATCGTCCATGCATTCTAAATAACACCGTTCAATTTACTTTATTAACCTCTTAGATACACGTCAGCTGTTGAAACCACTGTGATTAAGAAATCAGTGTTCGATTGTTTTTTTGCTGCAGCCGCTTAGGGTTCAACGTGATCTATTGCAGCTTAGGCTCCGGTCATGGGTCTCAATCAAGGTCGGGATCCCCTGATTGAATGAAACTTCCCCTCATATGCGATGACTAACTTGGCAATTAAACTCACGGAAGTCGTGGGCTACAAATTCATTAATCAAATTTTGCTACTTGGCAAATTTTTTACTCGCAATGACAAGTTTCTGGAAGAGAGAATTGCGGCCCAGAAGACTGCATATTGACTGCTATCCTTTGAGGCAACAATTCCCAAAGGGATGTAAGAAGCGTCAATCAAACGAGAGAAAAATAAGCAGTGCCTTTTCGAGGTTAATTGACAAGAGATCTGCTAGTGACCCTGGTGTTGACTTGGCAGATAGGTCTCCATAGCAAAAAAGTCCTCTATTTCAGACCGGTGATTTAAATTCCATTATGACGGATTCTGCCCTCTTTTGACCAAAATGGATTCGGTCGGTGTCGAAAATGGAAGAGCTTCTATCACTTTATCCATCCACTTGCTCCCTATCCATTGAATCCCTCAGTTGTACCCATTCTATAGAAACTTCCTCTCTCTAGAGATCTATGTTTTGCCATTATTATATCATCCGTCCGCTTCCTATTTAACTATCCAATCCAGAAATTTACTTCTTGGCTCTTTATTCTTTCACCTTGAAATGTCTCACGCATTAATCTGTCAGTTACAGGCCTCTCGCTTTCTTCAAATCCTTCTTCCTTCAATCTTTAATCGCTTTCATCCATTCAATCATCCCTCATTTTCCTTCGAAGTTCACTTACCCATCCCATAGCGGGTGTCGATTTATTCTGATTCGTAAGGTTTGGAAGAAGAAAACCATTATTCTTATAGCAACACTTAATGGTAAACAAATCACGATTCCTCATTAAAGTTTAAACACTTATGCTCCCAAGATCTTCCATAGTCTTTTCCACCTGTAGATACAAAGTCTACCAATATAGCTTACTTGCTTATTCACCACCTTTTATCACACCTCATTATATCTATTTATCCACATCAGACCGGTTCATGCAATTGTTCTATTCCCCTTCGTTATTTACCCATGCGCAGAATAAATAAGTATTTTTTAGGCAATTCAACTTATTTTTTTATTTCAAAAGGCATTATTCATCTCCTAATTTGTGTACAGGAATTCAACATGAGACCTTTTTCTGTAAATATTCAGGCTGCATGCAATCCGTAAGTATGGACCTCTACTAAGCCTGCCTCACATTGCCTTTAAAGGCTAACGGCAGACGGGCTTCTTAAATGTCAGGCTAAAC